AACCCCCAAACATGGCTTAAATGCTGTATTGTCCCCACATGCCAGGCCTGCATGTGGGAAAAGGCGTTGCAATTGTTCTTTGTAGTCAGATTTGCACTTCACGGAATTAAAAACAAAAAGCCAATTTCAGGCTAAGGAGCCTTACAGCACAGACCTTGCCCTCGGCCATTCGGGGGCACCTGACCGAGGCTCTGCCGACGTGGCGAGCGGCTGGATTCGGTTCCGTCAGGAGACCTACGTCAAACTGGCATTTTGAACAGCAGCCGGCGAACTGGCAGCATGTGCAAATCCACGGGGTACAGCTGCGAAGCTCCAGGTGCCAGCACTAGAAACAATTTCTGAGTGACCTGAGTCAGACAGGTGAAAAGAACACTATGAATCTATTTTGGGCATGACGCTGTGGAAAGGAAAAGCTGCAACCACCAAAACCAAGCAGATACGAAAGTGCCTGCTGGTGATGCTGTTAATACAGCCTTTCAGAAACGGCCAAAGGATCCTGTTAGAGTGCAAAGCCTAATGCAAAGCAGACATCATCCTTCCCCTGAAAGTAAATATCGCTCGGGGGTTTCTCTCCTAGTCATGCCAGGAGGAAACCTAGAGTATCCAGCCTGCACCCATCTCAAGCAAGGCAAGGGCAAGTGTTGGTGTTCCTGCTTTAGAGGAACGCACTGACAACCTCCAGTTCAGTAAGTGACAATATACTAGAATGCAATGTACTCTTCATATCCTGAGAAAATTACTTATAAAACTATAACGCTATTAAAACGTGTACGAATTCAACAAAGATACATACTTTGCTTAAAACAGTAAGTGCACTGAACTTGGGATGACCAGGGCCAATGACATAACAGAAAATGAGTCGCACAGATTGTATAAAAGTAGTAAGTAGACAGGTCGTGTCAATCTGGAAGTACAAATACATACCAGAGATGATAAAAACACAAACCAAAACAAAACAGGAAGAACCTCCTTCACTATGGCACATGCTCTCAAATCCAGGGCCTAAAACTAGTTGAGGTTTGCAGGGATTTCTGGAGATTGTCCAGCCCAGCGCCCCTGCTCCAAGCATGGGCAGCAAGACTTCCCCAAAGGAGTCCAATGTGTTCCAATCGCTGTACCTTCAGTAAGCTGAAGGAAGAACAGTATTACTGGTTTTGCTTTTTTCCAAAACAATACAACATTTAAGCACGTATTTTCTGATCATTTTCATCCAATGTCAATGAATTCCCAGGCACTGTGGTGAAGATCACAGTCACTACTTTTTGTTCTGATACAGAGTTCTCAGTACTACACAACAGTCTTCTGGCTAACAGTGCCAGTACTGCAAGAACATAATAGAGCAAGGAAATAGATACAGTAGAGTTTACAAATAACTAAAGATTACATTTGGGGTAGGGATTGTGTCTTCTCCGTCTCTGTGAAGAATTTTCACTCTTGTACTCAATTATAGTATCTTCTGTGGGGTGAAAGTTATGTATTATTTTTAAAATGTGCAGAATTCAAGAGACCCTCAGAATTCAGAAAACACAGCAACTGCCATCTCTGCGGTCATTATTTTCTTGAAACAAACTCAAAGACCTGATGAAGATGCAAAACACAAGCAGTTATAGTAATATGATAGAAGACATGAAGAAACACTGTGGAAAAAATCATAAAAATGGAATCCTAGCATAGACCAGGGTTACATTTAACACAGGAAGAAGTTCATAAAGTCCATCTCTAGAGAAACAGGTAGTGAGCAGTTGCCAGGCAGCCAACCACGTGAAGCACTGCTTCGGCAAAGGAGAAACTGAGAACTGAGCACACTGCAAAACCAGAGGGAAGTACTGTTTTCACATACAAAAAGTCCTTGATCTGGTCCTCACAAAAGAACCCACCATGCTCACAAAAACAGGATGGTGGCTAGCAGTTACAAAAATTAAAGGGGGGGAAAAAGGGGGGCGGGGGGGGAAGTGGCATGCAGGGATTACTGTAACAAAAAGGTTTTGTTTAAAATTATTTGAGACACAGAGCAAGTAGTCATCGCCTGATTAGAATGCAACATATGTTCCATTAGACAGAGCTACCAAACGTCTGTACACTCGGCTGCATTGGGGATAATAAGCTCCCATTTGCTATAGGCACTGCGTGTTCTTTTCATTTTACTTCTAGTGGCAATTAACCTCCCTGTTATTAAGAAAATTGAGCTAAAAGTGGAAGACACACACACTCATTTACAACACTGATGAAACAAGATCCTTTTACATTCGCCCATTTCTTCAAATGTGTTTTTACCTCTGAAGCCCTTTTAGATACAGTGAAATAAATCAAACCTTCCTCCTAAACTATCATTTCCCAAACTTCTCAGGCAGAAACCCCATGCAACTCTCACAGGCACTTTACGTGTGTGGGCTTCTCTTCTGCAACTCTGTCTCCTTGGACTTTGCACTCCCACTATAGGTTGTGACCTCTAATTTGGGACCACCATCCTAAATCCTGCTACTGGAGATAAAAATCTGACTTAGCATATGCTCTTTAAAAAGCAAAGGGTATTTTCTCTGAAAAAGGTTTAAGAAAACCCCACAAACACTTCAGAGTATGAAGAATACGGTACTCGTGTACTGAGCTTTCAAATGCACGTAAGCAATCCAAAGTAGCAGACAAGAAAATCCACCCCCAGTTAAAGCAAAGATCCTCCAATTCAAACAATCAAAGAAAGCTTTTACCCTCAAACCTCCAAAAACTACCGTAATTTGTTTCTCAGGTGGAAAACCAGGAACAAATTCAAATAGTGGCTGAGATACTTGAGGCCTGCATGGGAGCAGTGCAGCAGCTGGAGAGCACGTGGAGGTTACCTTCTGGACGGGTGATGGTGTAAGAGAGAAAAATGAAGAGCGAGCAGTTTATTTTATCGTGGGGGGTGAGAGGTCATAGTTTGTGCAGAGGTGGGAATGCTATAAACCATGGTGATCTTCACCCAGTTTAAAGAGAGAAGGGCCTGCCATATCCTAATGGGATTGTACTGGATGATTTAGTTACACAAGAGAATATAAAATGGAATTTGCAGAAGTACCTGGCTTCTGCCAATGTCTCTTAACCCCAAACAGCACAAGCAGCAGCGTATCTCTCTTTCAGCCGGTGCTCAGCTGACCTCGTCTTCCGACTGTAGTCAGCGGCAGATTTGCTCTTGCAAAGGTTTGTTTTTTTTTTTTCTATTTTTCTCCCAACCTGAGTTTACAGCCAAGTTCCTGGGCCATAACATAGGTGTACTACCAGTATTGTGTGCTTGGGATGCACCATCTTTGCTGCAATGTACAACACCAGAGCAAGACGTCAATGCGAGAAGGAAGAATGAGGAGGTTTTGGCTGTACAGATAGTTAGAAAAGTTCTGGGTTTTCAAACAAAAGAGCTAAAGGAACATGCAAGATTTAAGCAGTCTCTGCATATACGGTACAAAAGCAATCCGAGGTGAACAGCACTCAGGTCACAGACTTTTGTGATGGGGAGGGAAAGACAACAGGTTGCTAACAGCAATGGATATGCTACTCCTCATTTTCTGCACTAAATCAAAATTTGAAGAACACACTTCACGTTTGCAGGTAGACAGCTGTAACGCTGGTAATCATTCAATTATAGATGACAGGCAAGGCATTTTGAATAATCACAGGCAAAATGAGGGAAAAATCCAGACGACCCTGCATTCAGGTGTGGCCCTCACAGTATTGTTAGCAAGTGAGCTAAGATTGCCAGATTTTTCTGGCAGCTTTTTCTTAAGTTCCATTTTATATATGGGAATTAAAACAAAAATCCATTAGCAACAACTGGCAGAAAAACACTGTTCTGAGACATAATCAGCCCCAACAGAACAACCTGATCCATGTCTGTTCCTGCATTTGGAAGACCAGATTTTCCTGGGGCGGGTGATGGTAACCTTTGTTCGTTCGTGTTGCCTATATTTGGATGCACGAACTTGTTGGGGCTTGTAGACTTGCAGAAGAGTTCTTTGGACTTCACCCCCGTGCTGGCTGCAAACTCAGATGAAGGCTTGGAAGCAAAGGAAGGAAAGCAGTCAGGAGACCAGACTTGCAGAAGGGGACAGGCTGTCCAGCTCAGTGCAAGGTATCCTCTACAGATACAGATTCCCTCCTTTCACCTTCCCTCCTTGCATAAAAAGTGCAGTAAATTCTACTGGGAATTACAGCCTATTCCTTAACCCAGAAAGGGGGTTTGGATGTTTAATGGCTTGCTACAGTTGCAACTCCTGTGCTTAGTTTGAAGCATACTGCAGATGTTCTTGGACATTCTTGTATTTTTCTCTGTATTCTCGTTTGAGAAAGGACATTCCAGCCTTGTATAACTACCTACTAGAAGCAATTAATATTAGTCCCTAGAATGGAAATGCAGTATTACATATTGTACACTGGCCCAAGTGACTGGAACAGAAATACCTTTGAAGATCAGGGCCTCGGTAACACAGTCGCACTGGCATCAGGAGGACAGCAAAATGAGGCCAGTCCTCGTTCACCTCAAGACAAACTACTTCTGGCACAGGGTGTGTTTCTGTTAACAAACATTTTCCAAAATTATCTTTGCATAATGATCAGCACAGAGATGAAACAACTGAGGAGAGGCAGAAAAGCCTAAATCCCTCAGTGATGTGCACATCAGACTCAAGAAACTGGAGCAGTTGTTGCATCTCTACAAATTCAGAAGGCTCCTACCACAAGAAATAAGAACCTAACTTGTTAAAGCAATTTTTATTTAAGTATTTGGAGGGAAACTTTTATATCATGAGTAAAAATACTAGAGTTGAACGTTGTTAAAAAAAAAAAAAAGTCAAGATGATGGGCTCTCTGTGCAAACACAGCAGTTTCTGATGGAAGGGGGAAGCGAGGGTTCTCATAACATACTCCCTTTCAAATAAAAAAATTAAATGCTAGTTAACTGCAGTACATGTCATCATTTTTTATACAGTCAAGAGAATGAAAAACAAAAAAAAGCAATTTAAGAGAACGCAACCTACAATGGAATAAATTCATTCGCAGCAGAGACAGAATAAGACTGCTTTTATGAAAATTACAAAGAAACATGATACAACAAAAATAGGGTGTGGGGAATTTTCCACTAAGATTAAAAATGAAAAACAAAAAAAATTCACTTTTTGAACACCATTATTATTCAAACACATATGAAGTTTCAACCTAGTTTTTTTCTTATACATGGGAAACACTGTTAAAGTGAATCTTCAAGAGTGAGAAGGCACCATGAACTGTTGGCTGATACCTTTAATGCACACTCAAGAAAGAAGAAATGATCTGGCATGATGCAAAAAATTAAGTGTTTATATATATTCATATATCTTTTCATAAAAAAAAAAGCGGCAACAAGTCATTACTTCAGTGCCAAAATGTACTTTTGTCTGGTTGACTCACTCATTAAGATGATTTCTCACTTAGACCTGTATGGTATTTTTATACAGTGGTGAAAGTGGGTGATTTTGCGTTGTTGCATTTCATATTAGATTGGTAAATCAAGCGTTTTCTAGGTTCTGAGAAGCCAATCCTATGAAGTATTCCTAAACTCTATGCAAATGGAATAATTAAATGCACTGTCTAGAATGGAATACTCATCTGTACGACGTGGCAATTCCACTGGATTCAGTTTGATATGTAATGTCTTGCAGCAGATGTTATAACAAAAATAACTTTTGCTTTTTGATTTACCTCACTGAGGCCATTAATGCTGTTCCTATAGTTGGTTTTCTGGAGTTGGATGACACTTCACTGCTGTCCAAAATGAGTTTGAACCTTAACCCTCCAGAGTTTGTTCACTTTGTTGCTTATATTATTGCACTAGCTACTAAAGTCTTATATCTTCCTATATAAATCTAATTGTTCAGAGTGCAGATTCTATATTTAGATAATGAACTGTATGAAATAAATAAAATAAGGGTATTTTCTGGTCAGAGTTGCTGATATGTTGAATACCTTAATTATTTCTAAAGTAAACAGTTTTGGTGTATATTCTTAAAAACCTATGGTCATTCAGCATAAAAGCCTTGACGTAATACTTTAAGAATGGATTTGTTTTCCTTCTCAAAAATGCATCAAAGAATTGTTTTAAATACAGAATCTGTGAGGCTTCCTACAAATTCGTCTAAGTCATAATACAAACACAGTTTGTAATTCAGATAATATAGAAAGTTCTCTAGTGTCCATTGAAGTAAGGTCCCCAAAATGCAGTCTGTTTTGTTTCTGAATGGGAAAACATTGCAACATTAAGCGGTTCCACTGGCTGAATAGGAGAACTGAGGAAAATGAGGTCTTCTCTCGTTATCTACACAATCCATGCTGTCATCTGAAAAATGAAAAAAACAGTAGACAACATTTGCTACCTTTTAAAGTAACCAAACAATAAGATAATGCACAGTAAAGTTATTTCAGAAAATTTCACTGTTGCCTTTTTCTTCCACAGCTTGAAAGGACAAAGAAACAGGAAGTCTTAAATCTCACCCCACTAAATGGGCATCACAGAAGATCCTGACTGTTGTATGTAAACAGTTGTTTGGATGTCCATTTAAAATTGCTAGGAGCTCCATTGCTGAAATCCATATTCAGTGTTCTGAACTTCTGGCAACTGCTATTTCAGAGCATCAAACATGCTCAGTTACCATGAAAATAAAATGCATTTTGATTGAATATGGACGTTAGTCCACACTCAATTGACTGCTTGCATATACCCAGTGTGTGTGCAGATGTACACATGCAAAACTCATGAACAGAAGTATTTTCGAATGGGAATGTACAGATTTAGAAGAGACAACAGTACAAATAATTTCACCATCTTCTAAAAGAGGTTTTTCATTTCCCAGACTGGGAAGTTTCACATCAGTTTACCAACTTTTTGGTCAAATACATATATGGAAAACCCACAAGTTTAAACTGATGCTTTTTCACACAGTCTAAAGAGACCAAGTAACATTACAGCAAATTATTTCTGGTTGTCTGGAGAACATAGTGGGCAACATATGGGAAAACTTTACCTTGGTCAGGAGGAGTGATTGTTATCATCTGTGCTGTAAATTCTTCATCAAAGTATCTTGTATCTGTTTCAGATGTAACTTGTGGCTTAAACGGAGGTACAAGCTGTGAAAAGAAAAAAAAAATACTGTCCATTTACAGGTTCTTGCAGTACTGTTTGAAACGGGTAGAATTTCAAATAGAGTTATAAGCTACAGTGTTTTTTCCTACACTCCTAAAATAAGTTTAAAAAAACACCAGTTCATAAAGAAGGAACCATATAGAGTAAAAAGTATTTATTTAGGTGTGCAATTCCTATTTATGGGGCATTTAAGGTATTTTGCCTGTAGGAGTTAATTGCACAAAGAAAAACCTAGAATCCTAACATTTCTTCAAGTAATAAATAACATGCTTACAAATGTTTAAAAATAATAGTATATACTGGTTCCCCACCTCATTATACTGAAATTGTCAACTGCATCTAGTCGGGTTTATGCTTGAAGAGGATGAAGATGAGTAAGAAAGATGCTCTGATACCAAACCGATCAGCTAGACTCATATACCACCGCAAGGGTTGTAATGGGCAGAGAAGAATTTCAGCCACAGAACTACTGTGCCCATGCAGCTCTGACTGCAACTGTGCTGTAAGTCGGACCAGCCTGGGAGAATTTAGGACACGGCAGCAGCAACATTAAGCATTTATACTCCCGGTCCTCAAAAGCAGTTTGATGTCAACTCAGAAAATCTGGAGTGCCTTAGCAGTGAACATTCTCCCCTTGTTACACCATGAGTCGCACTATTTGGGTTTTATTCTTGACACTCGCTCGGGCAGACAGGCTACAAATCATCCATGTGTACCTAGGCAAGCTCCGGCAAGAGGAACTCCAGATGGAGCGGAGCTGCTTGACTGGGGCTGGAGGAGGAGCGCGCCTGGAAAGCGGGGTGGCAGAGCTGGTTGCATACAGATGCACAGAGTTGGAACACGTACAATTTTGGAGGGCAACGGAGCTGCGATTCAGACCTCGCTCACCTCGCTGCCGCACGATGCGGTAGAAACAGAATGTAAACACTGTTCTTAGCCCTCCCACAGAGGACATGTAATAGCTCTCAGCGCTGGGCTTCAGTTCGCCCACCGCTGGGGTTAAGCATGGCCATCTTTTAATAGCACAGAGCCACACCAGGCAACAATTTAGGAGCGTGATAGAGGAAGTATACGGCTTCCAATCTGAAACTGCAGGGAAAGGTTTATCAAGGCAAATGGTAAATTGCTCCAACTGGAATTAAGCAGTGACCCCGACACTTGCTCTTCTGCTCTTACAGAAAGAAGAGCAACACCGACAGAAATCACTACCTGGAAAAGACCAGCAAATCTTGAGTGTACAAAATACTTCTTCTCCACCCCTAACTTTTCCTCCAGCTTAGATCTGAGGAATCATTTGCTTGGCAAGTCGGTTAATATGAAAAGCACTAGCTTCAACTCCCTGTTGCCAGGGTCATCTTTCTAATCTGTTCTGAGGCACTTCACAGAGTGTTGTCCTGTCTTACAAACAACCCCCAGTGAAACTCCTTCATTTTCAATGTAAAGACTTTAAGAAGTGTAACCTACACATAAGGTGATATTTCCAAATACAAACAAAGAAACATTCTACAGTTTAAAACAAATCTTTAAAAATTAAGGGACAAAAATTTCTGTTTATTATCAGAGAGCACAATTAAAAAAAAAAAAAAAAGATGATTAATATATTCTGTAATTATTAATCATCCTCTGTACCCAAGGATGGCTTAAAGGAGCCTGGCAAATGTTCCAGTGAAAAAAATTAGGTCCTTAGAAGCGGTCTTTATGTCCTGAATTTAAAAAGGAAAAGGAAACAGGATATCCCAAAGCCACAAGTCATTCTGAGCCTTACAGTCCTCCTGAAGCTATTCAAGAAGGAATGCTTCGCATTGTAATGTTAATAATGCTATTCTCAATCAAGTCAAACCAGCACATTATGTATAAAAACCCTGTTGAGGATAAGGATTCTTTCTTTCACAGTTTAATTCTATTCTTTTCCTCTTTATAGCAGTTGTCTGCCTATTCCTTAAAGCGAACGTCGGTTTGTTTTTGACACGCTGTGCATGCATGCATGTGCAAAGTTCTATCTGTCCTTTTAAGCTAATGGTGGTTTTGGCACTCGCAATGCTCCCAGTTGCTCTAGCTTGCTGTGAGCAGCACAGAGTGATTTAGGACTTGGGCACTGCAGCAGACACCTGAACTATGCACATCAGAACGACTCAGAGCAGCAATCCTAAGTCAGAACACACGGGTAATGGGCAAGCACTGCCTGTATCATTTTCCTTTTTATTTTAGTATCTGTTAAAAGCAATTTGAGACAGATCATGATGCACCCACAAGACAATTTTTTTCCCCCTAGCTGTCAAATTTAGAACGTGAAGCTGGAAACAGAGGGGAAGCTGCAGAAAGCTCTAACGCTGGCTTTACCAAGCAAATGTGTTGCTTTACTGAAAAGCTGTCGCTGCAATAGCTCTGCAGTTCAACTGGCGGAGAGGTGCCACCTGTAGCTTCCCACTGCTGCAGACCAGCATGATACCTGCAGGCTTACGTCGGTTTAAGAGACAAAAAAGACCAGAAAAAAATATGTGATTAAAATCTCATTGCATATGGTTTGCTTGTGGGTGGCCAAATACTGCAAATTAAATTGCACCTTTCTTTGCCCCAGAGACAAGTAACAACACTCTTTCAGGAGAGTCTAATGAATATTTTAAATTCTTGGGACAACCCCAGTTATTCGGAACTCCTTGTAATTTGAAGCAAAACTATGTTTCCAAAAAGCTTAATTACAAAGTAAGTGTTCTCGACTACCCTAAGCCTATGTTCGTAAACATATTCACCATTATCTGGAGATAGCGGGTTACCAAGCTTTTAGCACATAAACACCTCTAGGCAGCTGACAAAATTCAGCTTTTATCTGTGAGACTGCATTTCAGGTAAATGCTGCAAGGTTCTCTTTGGACCACCCAGAATGTAGGCAGCAATTATCCACAGGCTTTTTGAAATCTCTTCACTTGCACAGCATGGCTATTTCTACAGTAGGTAATGGTTTACATCCAATTTCAGATGCACATGCTAACGGGACAGGAGCAAAACCAGAATCCAGCCTCCTTGCATATGCCAAGGTCAGAAATAGCCTCAATTAGCACACTGTTTTCTCCAAAATATGTAACATTTGGAATTTCCTGGTAGTTTCCACGACAGTCTGAGTCAGTACTACTATGGGACAATTTATGAAGGGTTCCTCAGTCCTATGGATAAATAAATTGCCTCCAGATTGTGTGATTCCTCCTCCATTCAGAGAAGCAGGACTACCATCAAATAACAAATAACTTCACTGAAGACATTTGAGCCCCGTTACCAACTTTTTACCTTCAACTGCAAAAATATAGCAAAACCAGCTTGTCAGCTGGGTGAAAATGGGGACAAACTCCTGTTTAGAACAGTAATTCAGATATACTTTTTACATTACACCGAATAAACTCCACGCAACTCCCTCCTGCCCTCATGACCGCACACAGCTCTCTCCCAAGGGATGCTTTGAAAGGACAGAGGTCTAAACTCTATCTACACTTTCAAGGCACAAAACCTTATTTTATGATTTTTCAGTTCCCTTTAGCCACACAAATCTGTGAGGAAGTGAAAGAACAGAAGGAAACAGAGCACTCTTTGTAATTGTATACAGACACCGGACAATTCTCCCACTACGGTATGGAAACCAGCAGTGTTATGCTCTATTTTTTTTAAAATATCAATATTGCTAATAGATCACTATATTAGTTTTACCGAAAGAATACAAAGAATTAGAACTCAGTTTCTGCTAAGTTTCTTACCTGCTCCCACCAACTGGAGGGAGAACTAAACTGTTTTTAGAGATCAAACGATATCTGATATCATGAGGGGCTGCAGGGGGGGAGGAGGGAAATCGGGAAAGGCTGGGATTGAGTGAGGTCATGTGGCACCAGTAGATGGGAGCCTTGAATCACCAGATCCATGTTTTAGTTAGCTGCATTTCATGTGAGCGTTATGGAAAATGTGGCTGGTGAGAATCAAATGGAAGAGGACAAGAGCAGTTTGCCCTGAGAGCACAAAGCAGGACATCTTGGAGGAGTGGAGCAAGTTATCTGTGAACAAAGGGCCAGTGAGGCATAGACAACTGATGCAACACATTCATACTGAAAGGGCTGGGCTCTTTGACTTCAGTGGCTCCCACTGGAAAGCCTACAAACTCAGTGGGTCTCAGGGAAAACCAATGAGAAACACCATGAAGTGCAGACACTTCACATCAGCCTGCTGTCACCAAAAAAAAAAAAAAAAAAAAAAAAAATAAAAAAAAAAAATTAGTCTTGAATTGACGTAACAGCCTACACTTCTCTGCACTTGCCTATTCAGTCTAATTTCATCATTCAAGACAGGAAAAATGCAAAGGGAACAAACAGCCCATCTTCCACTACAGCTTCTAGGAAGTTTTGCTTCCAGATGCTGAGGAACCAACAGTAACTCCTGGGCTCGCAAGGGATACGTCAGTTGATAGCAAGGAATAGCAACAAAAATTCACAAGAAAAGCCATTTTAAAAGCTTATATACTGTCTAAATTTGGAAGCAATTTTGGTTACATCCTATTTATTCAGTCACAGAAACAAGTATCTCATTGAGAAATAGTCCTCATTGTGGGGAAAAAAGCTTTGTTTCAGAAGTAATCCGATTACAGTATTTTCAGAAACATGAAGCAATTTAGCCTTGTTAAAAACAACTGCAAACCTCTTCTGTGAAGAGCTTCGTGTACCTTACAGAGGGCAACAAAATTTGAAACATTCAGTATATCCACAGCTACAATTCACCTTGGGAGAACAGTTGTGTAAGTACCTTTTTCTCGTATACATCTTGCCAAACAATGCCAGCAAAGAATTTGTGCTGCATAATCTCCTTGGCATCATCAGGACCACCACCTAACCTGTTTGGGGCAAAATAAGTAATTAAATGTTTGAGTACAGTTATTTTTCTCATACAGTTTTTATTAAATGGTAGTAAAGAAATTCTGAGTTTATATAATACATTTGGGAGCAGTTCTAGCATTTGCTTCATATTTGTTGTTTGTACAAGGGCTGCACGATAGTCTATTTTAGGCTTCAACACAGTCCCACTAAAAGATTTAAAACATGCCAACAAATAGAATTAGAACAAAGGTCTCTCTTAAACAAACAAACAAAGAAAAAAAAAAAAAATTCAAAAGACCTGCCCTTCAGGAAAGATGCTGTCCTAGGGACCACAGCAGATCCTGCAAGCAAAATGTCTGAGCCACACACCCTTCTCTCTTTCTAAATTAACAAGTCACTACCCCTTACAATTTTCTACAGCAGAGTGATGCCAGCAGTAAAACTGAATTCAATTCTGAAGTGTAAGAGAGGCAAGGATTTTTAAGACAAACTGATTTATGCAACCTGATTTAAATTTCCATTAAAGAAAACAGTTGACAACTGCAGTGATAATATCGTGTTGTATGCAAAACTTTCCCCCTCCTTGGCTTCACGAAAGCACAAAGGGTGTTCTACTGACTTAAGGTATATCAAGATAAAGCACTTTTATTCCAAAATAAAACTGTCCACACAGCTTATAGATGCAATCAGTTTAGTTGCAGTCTCGAGCTAAGAGAAGCTTAAATTTTGCTGTGGAGGTTAAAATGTTCTCTAAAAGATTGAACCACATCTGCAAGCAAAGGCATGCACTGAGAAAACAAAGCACAATACTGAGTAATCAGCAGGAGACTTACTTTCAGGTAAGAAGGTTAAGAAGACACTCAGGAATTTAAGCACAAGAGGTGTCACCATGTTCATCCAGGCTGACCTCTAGGATCTGCCTGATTCTTGGTGCCACTGGCAAACTGAGATATTATCCCTATTTTAAGAGCTTGGAATAATGGCTCTATGTGACCAAGGCTAGAGCTATACCGCCACAGAAAAACAGGCCAAGGACTGTTCTTTGAACCTGAAGCCAAGCTGCCCAGCCAGGCCTCATCCTTGCTCCACAGCACTTGGCCCTGAATCTCCTCCGGGCCACATGCAGTAACCCTGTGGCCCTAATACATGATTATTTGGGGGTGGAGGGAAGGCTTTCCATTCAGAATTATCAGAGATAATGTGAAGGCTGTGCTACAGCCCATTGACGTGGTATTTTGACAGCTTGAGACTGTAATGCATGCTCTGGGACATAGTTTGAAGGCACAATGCTATTGGGACAGCGTTGGATGATTGTTTAGCGAGGAGTCGTCAAATACGGTGATACTTTGTCCATACTGCTGACTGCGAATGGATCCTGGTACTCGCAACCCTCTTAGCCACGCCCAAGCACCGTCTTCAGAGTGTGCAATCTGGCAGAGGCCACAGCTGTACCAGAGAGACCAAGCAGCAGAGGTGCTTGGCAGTTCAGAGTCCATGCTTGCCTCCCAGCCCTCTTTCATTTAGTGGCACAGCAACCTAAGGGGTTTGCTCCTTCACGTTCCTTCAGGAAATGTGCAGTGGAACAGGGAACGGACCCCCAGTCTTCGAGTCACAAAGTGTCGGGTGATGCTCTCCTTCCCCAGGTAAGCTGTAAGACCAAGCCTAAGTTTGCCCTAGAGCCCCACAGGTCAAACCAAGCTGGGTGATGGCTCTCCCATCTGCCTGGCAGCACGTTATACAGCTGCAGAGCAGCCTGGAACAGAGACAAACTCCAGGGCAGCCTGGGAACAGAGAAAAACTCTGTGAGTAATCATCTCTCTGCTGGTCCCCCACAGGTCTAGAGGCTTTGCCAAGTCTCTACCAGGCTCCTCGTTGCTTCCCCAGCACAGATGACAATGGCCAGTGAAGAAGAAGAGGGTGGAGTTGATGCTCTTTAGCCACAGATATCAACAGAGTGCACTTCTGCAGAGAAGTTCAGGAGTGACTATGAGCTAAGAAGATCCTGAAGCGTGTTTTGCACAGGCATGCAGGAAGGCTGGCTGGCTGCAGCCATGTACGAGTGCTTTGGAGAATACGTTATCTAATACGGAGCCTTTGTTCCATGAAGGGCAAATACATACTCAGGGAAATGCCAAGAAAAACCCCAGATGTTTGACTTACCTTTGAAAAATCCATACTATTAAACAAATCCATTCAAAGCGAATGCGGAAACGATAGAAACCTTGTATTTTGGATACAGGCTTATTCCAAAACACACTCTTGTTTTTCAGAATTATTATGAAAGGACCCTCACAAGGAGAACAAAATTAAATCAGCACCTAATGCAAAAATCATGGTTAAGCACCACTGAGACCTGAAAGAGCAGCACGTCTGCCTTTCATAAGGACATGCAACAACTGAAGAAAAATATAGCAGGAATAAAAGTCATGAAAGGATTCTTGCACAATAAAGTTAAATTCTGTGCATTTAAGTCTTCAGACAGAACCAAAAATAGTATAAACAGGACTTAAAAAGAAAAAGCTACTGAGATTTACAGTATACAAGGAAATACAACACAAAGTGTAGAGGCCAAAAAACAATTAAAAAACCCCAAACAACCCCCAAACTTCTGTCTAAATTTGTCTCCTTGAAAAATACCTACTAAACAATTCTGGTTATTCATTTAACTTTCATCTACATTTGAGAGCCTTTGTTTCTATGTTTCAGCTAAATCCCTAGGAGAAAATTATTAATAAAGTGCAACATCAATATTAAACTGAAACCACTTCCACATTTTTAGTTGTTATGAAACTGTGTATTCCTTGCAAGTTCCTTCAATCATTTAATGACAAATGTCTGTCCTCCACTAGTCAAGGGCAATCAGCTATCATTCCACAGAAAAATCACATGCAAATGTTTCTAAAAATGTGTGTACTGTTATTTAAAAAAAAATTATATATTAAAATGTAGCATATAAACAGAGTCAACATGAAAGTAGTATTATTGCAGGCCAGAAGATTGGAATTAGTGGATTACAGGAAAAATATTGTTTCTCTACTTGACCATGTAAAAGTAAACAGTGCTCAGCACCCAGGTCCATTCCCAGCTCTTTAAGAAGAAACCCACAAAATTCTAGTTTTATAGTTAAAAAGTTTCTACAGTAAGGACAGCCAGGGTCCATCACAGGAAAGCAGGCAGCAACCGCCTTCACCCTGCCCCACCAAAAAATCCCATTCCTAAGCTCGTGCTTCACTATATTAGGAGCCACAATACAGATTCTGACTGTGGGCGAATCCTCATCTGAAGAGAATGTCATGCTTCTAGGTGACAGATTTCTGTTGTTTACAGATTTGCAAGTGCACCATTCTCATCTGAGAAGACAGTCACAGTTTTAGGCACCGTTTCTGTTGCCGTTCTGTCTTCACATGATTTCTCTGACTCCCCCCTGCCCGCAAACCCGGTTCTACAATAGTGCAAATATACCCAATGGGCTCAAGAAAATCAGCTCAGCGAAAGCTACTGGTGTTCACCAGCTCAGAGCACACAGATGCGTATTTCTCCCTCTCTGATGCAGTCAGGATGGAGACCAGTAACTTGTTTTACTATGGCCCTTACCTTCAGAAGTCTCCAATAGCCACAGGGAAGGATTTAGGAACCGCACCTACATTGTTTTCCTGTGCCCGGCACTAGCAGCACGGAGAAGTTCTGGCTGGCTTTGGGAACAGCACAATTTGATGACTCCAGATTTGGAAGGAAAAGGCCATATACTTCCCAAAGCCCTGTACGCACAGTCATTGGGGGCTTTCCTGCTCAGATATTAAGACTTTTGGAAAGCCTAATGCAACTCCTAGCTCTCTGCGGAGCTTTACTTGCCCACTCCTTCATTAATCAGATGCATGCGACACAAACGTAGTGGATCTACTAACACTGGAAAAGCTCCCACCCCCCAACATTAGTAACCACAAAGGAGTTGTGTTTGAGGATGCTGAGGCTTGGGAAGTCTCTAAACTACCGATTTCTAGAAAGCAGGGGGGCAGATGTTTAAATTTGCCTTTTACATTTTCCTCAGCTTTAATTTAGATTTCTTACAGGTGAACTGTTTGAGTTTGTCCAAACTCGTTCTGAATAGCTTTGGACTGAACCAATTTAGACTAAAATCATAACACACAACAGCTAAATCTCAGTCTACCTCAAAGTACCTGGTGAAACATGTATGAAGACTTGATGAGCACTCCGCATTTCAAGTGATACACAGGACACTGGAGTTGTCTGGAGATAGAAGCAACTTTTGTACTCAAGACACACACATTCCAGAGCAAACACAAGACACTTGTCACACGTGGTTTCAAGTCTCCGGATGCCCACAAGGCACGAAGTCTGTTGCCTAAGATGACCAGCTATTCAAGGTTACCCCCTCCTGCCTGCCACCAGCTAACTGGGACCACCTCCAGGCCCCCGCAGTCCCCACCTCTACCTCTTCCAACTCCAGTGGTGGCTGCGTGGGCTGCAGACTTAGCGATGTCCGAGAGCAAGTTTGCTCAAGCCATCTACCCATCCCATAGCAGAGCACCACAGAGGACAAACTACAAATCGCCTCCTTTCACAAGGGAAAAAACCAAGGAATTTGTTTTTTATGCAGGTAAAGGCTTGATTGACCCTGATCTTCCTGAGCATCTGCAGCCAAAGTTGCACTCTGGATGTGGAAAGAACCACCACCACTAGAAAGAATGAAGTGCCAGATCTCTGTGTGGCTGCAAGGACTGATCACCAGTTCCCAGCGACCAGCTTCAGTGCTCCAAAGCCACAACTACAACTCTGTGAAGTCATTAAATCTTTTAAACAGGCATTTGTGAAATGCTGCATCTTCTTCCTCCCATTCTTCCTGAATGGCAAGGTCCAACAGCAACACAGAAGACAGAAGTAGACGAAGCAGCTTGTGACAAACCCCATCTGAAAGAGGCTGAACAACCCTGACCTATGACAAGGAGCACTAAGGCATGTAGTGAAAACATATGGTCAAAATTCAGAGGAAATCATCCTGAAGTTGTCTCAAGTTTAAAACCTGCCAAGATTCAGAGGTTGCAAGACACTCTGATTACAAACCCACCCACCCATCTAAACTCAGCCCGTTTACATGGAGCACTCTGATCCATGCCCACTTTCACAGGTTGCAGTCTTCACAGCCAGAGAAAGAAAAATAGAAGTTAAAACCTGCTGGTTTATGTGTGAAAAAAGATGCTCTGATTACCTCCTTCTATTTGATACATGTCACAAAGCAGCAAAGGAGAATGTCAGGTCACATTAAAAGGAAATATCTACAGAATAGATTTTTTCCTTCTTAGGAAAATTAGGGCTCACATTACAATATTAATAAACTTATATCAATCCCAAAAGAAACTTCAAAATTCCTTTTCTCTTACAAAATGGACTTTATATGACCAAATTTAGAAAGCAGCCATGATTAAAAGCAGAATGCAATTTATTGTTCTTCACATTTTCCCCATATGCCTGTAAGTTTGAGGCTGAACTGGTATTACTGAATGCAGAATGCTAAGACTGTTTCTATATATCCAGTTCAGGTACAACAGGGAATTTTTAAGACTTAATTCACTGACTCAGGTCACAATTCCCTAGCTCCTTGGTATTTAACTTAAAATATTCTCATCACAGAGCATCATTTTATCAACCTTTTTTGTTGTTGGGGTTTTTTTGAGGATTTTACGGGAAGGGACATCTCCCAGTTTCATTTTTCTCATGGTTTTGGCTGTCTCCTCTGTCCCATTCTGAAGTTCATCAGCAGTTACTAAATGCTGCCTATTCTTATGTTTTCTGCCACAGACAGCATTACAATGACACTAACTTCTCTCCACCACTGGGCTTTGTGGAAGAGGGGATTTCTGTTGAATTACATAGTGGTTCCCCAAAGCATCATCAACGGGCTAATGTCAACCAGACTACTGCACGTTATTTAACTTTTCACTGAATGTATTTGTGTAGCTATCTGGCTGCTTTTCTTCAATATGGCTCCATGAACTCACTATGAGCCAATTACCAAGTATCCCAGGCGCCCACCCCAGCACACAGACCACAGTAAAAAGAAAATAAAACTACAAGGCCAGAACTCAGGACTTCTACCCTAGTGCTTCCAGCTCAGTTCTCTGTACTGCCCAAAATGCCACGAAGCGCAGTGGATTTGCAGGATCGCAACTTCAGTTAAAAAGTTGGGTGAACAGTGATTGGTGAGAAACCAGTATTTAAGAATGGTCCATGATCCAAAAAGCTTGGGAAGCACCAGTGTAATTAGCAAGCTGCAGGCATGTGTGCAGGCTTGTCTAGTCTGTAGTTATTTCTATCAGCAGCATGAAAATCATCTGTCCAACAGATCAGAGCATCATTGGTTCCAAGCCTGAAGAAGATACATGTGAAGAAGTGGCTATTTGTATAAAATGAGCATATTGTGGAGTAATTATTGGCATTGGGAAAACCTTGTAATTAGAAACAAGTGGGCGTTCTTTGTTTGTAAACAAATTGCATTTTGGTTCATCAGAGATGCTCCTTTAAGAACAAATTACAGCAGATGCTGCTTGTGTTTCCAGTGATTGAAAGGCCCCACCTGAATAAGCTACAAAAGAGTCACAACTGTATTTAACCCAGCGCTTTCCTGGACAGGAATCCTGTTGGCAGGGGCTGCAACCACACTCTCAGAGCACAGTGCCTGGGGGGCTGCTAATCAATTACACAACCTTCTCCTGGAGGTCCCCTTGCGGGCGCCGGGTTCAGGAGGGGTGTGCAGCTGTTGCCACCTAGTACAAGGCTGGCGATGTTCCTGACTACAACTGTTCCCAGTTCTCCGTATGACCACTAAGTCAAATCCTCCGGTAGTACAAATTGTGGGTTTGCATTACAAGACCTCTCAACAGGATTTTCCATCAAAAATAGTGATGGAAATAGCCTACAGTGATGACAAAAATCCTTGCTACAAGTATCCATGTACTGGCAAAAACCATTTTCCTGCTATGTGCATGCACACACACAGACTAAACAAACATCAGAAAGCAAACCGGAATACTCTGCTTGCACCTCACATAAAAGATTTCCTATTTGGGGCCCATTTATGGTGGAAGGTTCACAACAGGAGATCAGGGGCAGAGTCATAATATTATTTGTTTTAAAAATGGGTTGACAAGATGGCAGGTTTTTAAACTGATGTTTATCTTTGTGTGAAGGTCAACATCCTTTTTGGATCTTGTTCTATTTTCTGTTTGTTAGCCATTAAGGGCTTGGGGTTTTTTGTTTTCTTTTTTCTGTTTTTAGATCAGGGGTCACTTTTTTAAAATAATACAGCATAGCAAAAAAAGACCAAAAGGAGGAAATAGGAAAAGTAGATTAAGCATGGTGTAAACTCTGCCACAAACATGGTACAAACACCACCACCTACTGTCCAAAGCAGGATGCTAAATCACTGGCACAGATTTAACCGAAAATTCAGAAAACCAACAGCAGCCTGAACTGGGACAGAAGGTTGAAAGCATTCAGTGTAGAGCAGCTTATAACCCACAGCAGCCATTGGATTCGTTATGACTGAAGGCAGGGTTAAGTTGCTTTGTCCCAAGCTATAGTTTTGTGTTAACGGCAGCCATCATATTCCAAACTTCAGCCTTCTGATCACCAAAGCTGCTTCATGTTGCTATTTGCAGCATCAGCTCATGTCAAAAGTTAAACCAAAAATGAGTAGGTCCACTTGCTGCATCTTGGACGGTGATCATTTTGAACGGATTAGCAACAAAACTACTATTTTGTCTTAACTAACTTCCTCAACTTTAAATAACGAAAAACAACTAGCATGCATGCATTCAATAGCCCTTTGTGCAGTACCATTTTCAATTGTTTTTCAATGATGGCGATACGGGCCTTTCATATGGCAGCACAGAAACCATCACTTTTAAGTCATTTGTCTTGAAGATCGTTCCCTTTCATAGACATGCCTCTGCATAGCACAATTATTAATTCCTTTGTGAAGCCTTTAACAGAATTTTTTTCTTTTTTTTTTTTTTCTTATTTCTGAGGGCACAAGTGTTTAAAAGTACAACTATTAAGCAACAGTCTCACCTTTGCTTAGGATCCTTCTTCAGCAAACCTGACAAGAGAGATTTTGCTTCAGGTGACAAAGTGCGTGGAAATCTAATCTCCTCCATTAGGATGAGTTCAAAGAGCTTTTCGTGGTCCTGATTGTAGAAAGGGAGCCGGCCACACATCATTTCATACATCACAACTCCTAAACCCCACCAGTCCACTGCACGACCATAGTCATTATCTTCCAGCACCTGCAGAAATGTAAGGAAGAGGCTTTAGAAGACATTCCCAAACCAAGGCATGAACACAGAACTCAAGGCAAAATTTACCACAGTGAGTTCATCTTTTGACATGTCACAGCCGAATCTACCAGCAGAGTATTTGCAGAAGATCCATTTGAAAAGATCTGGCATCCCCGTTCACCACGCTAGGTGAGCAGGAGGGAGAGAAGGAGGCAGCAGGGACATTACAGCAGCTTCCTTCTCTTCTTCCTCCCACCCTCCCTCACATTATGGTCATGATAAGCACAACCTTCAGAAGCCCAAAGGCTGAGAACTGTTCTCAAGTTACAGAGCCAGCTGTTAAATTCTCACTTATTCATCACAAACTGTTCCAAATGGGATCCAATTTTTTAGAAAAACCCCAAACCACCAAGGAGCCAGTACGGAGAGAAAAGACTGTCAACCTGTTACTTCACAAGTGACAAGCCAAATATCCCCATCGTCTTCATACCAACCTGTACCCCCCAAGGGTACATCTGCACATCCTGAAAGACCACCCACAAATACTAAATGACTAATCTACATTAAACACTGAGAGCCAGAAAGCCACTCCTAACATTTGACCGGTTGTAAGACCATAAAACAGCAGCCAAGTTGTCTGGAAATGTTTCCCCTCCTCCCCTCTGCCCCCCTCCAAAGGCACTTACTCACTAGCTCTAACACTCCTGCCTCTGCTTAGAGGGCTGCAAACCCAGGAATTGTCAGTGGGGTGGACTTCTGCCAGCTCTCACAGCAGAAGGAGACCAGCACAGTTTATTTTTACCTTCCCCCGGGCACTTCTACCTAACAAAGCCCTGGCTGGTGCAGGGACTCAGGACCCCAGCAGTGCCCTCCATCTCTCCTGCTTGCTCCAGAGAAGCCCCGTCATAGTGCATTTCTGATCTTCTGTGCTGAAGATTGCCAAAGGGAGTGGGGAGTGTTCTGTGGCTTGTGGAGTGGATGTTACAAGGACTTCTCTAGACTCTGCGTCTCCCACGCAGTTGTCTGTAGCTGACACTAATAGCCTCATGTTCCAGACCCCGTCCTCAGATTTTAGTCATCATCTTTACCCTTTTCACAGGTCTGCACTGAACTGCTTACTCTTCCTAAGAGCACAAACCACAACCACACCACCATCGTGTTTTATTGTCACATGGTGTCTGTGTGAGCTTTACATTGCTACAATTCAGAATATTTTTACACTCAAAATTAAAACGATGAAAGAGCCAAATGAAGTCGATGCAAGTTTAACAAAAGCAGGATCCGAACCTCTAACAAACGTTGATATAAAGCTTTTGCACACAAAAAAGAAGCGTCGAGACACTCCATGTAACAACTGCATGTACTCTGCCTCTCTTTATTCACTAATTATTCCCCTTAATTATTGAAAGAGCCTGCAGTAAAAATCAAAAGGCTGCCAGGTATTAGATTACCCCACATTGGTCTATTTACAGCATCCCCGGCCGTATGATTCACACCAAACGACAGCTGGCTCTGCAGCTGCCCTGTATATGTATACGGCCGACACAGCTGCCGGCCGGACAGGATTCCAGGAGCCGGCCCCATCCTTCCCGAGGCATTGCAGCCCTTCAGCTCACAGGAGATATTGTGTGACAATGCAGTTACTGCTCCCTGAGTCACCCCGTTCAATAAGCGCTTCCTGTTCACACTCCTCTACACTTGGGTTACCTAAAATAAAACAGTCACGGGCCCTCCAATTTTTATTTTTTAAACTGCTGCAGAAATGCAACAGGAGAGGATTGAAAGAAAATCAAAACCACCAAGGCCTTTGTTGTGTATGTAATAAATGCTACAGGTGCTTTCAAAATGCAGCAAGTACTTCAAATGTTACTTCAGTAACCATATTAATACTCTGCATTATAATCTAGATTACTAACTACAACTCTTTCCTTCACCTCCTGTAAACATCACAGCCATTGATGCATCTGACACATCAAAATTGACATGGTTCAGTCACTGACATCCATGCATGAGATTCCAGTATGAACCTAAAAACAACGATGCACCAACTGTACAAACACACTGCTATGCCGGATTCAAATTACAAATGCAGACAAGACAATTGAGACCCCTGCTTTCAAGGATGTATGACCTTAAACGCATGGAATATCACTCGTGCACAATTTCCAGATTTTTTGCATGCTATTGACAGGATGACAAAAGCCTCCAAAATTTAACACTCCAACTCACAGATGGGATTTGCAAGTAAGGGAGAGAGCTGGATTAATCAAAAGGCGTTGTCCTTCAGGGTTTTGGATGAGCCAACTCATCATAAATATTAAAAAGAAAAATAATAGCAAATAATATAACAGAAAGAACAACATAACGCCTGCATAGGGAATCCCCACATTCAAAGTTAGGAAAAAACAAAACCAAAACAATAAATATTTTTAGTATCCTCATTAAATCCTTGATGAGAAACTGAAGTTCAGCAATTGATTTTAAGAGGGAAGCTATAATAAAAACCATGTTTATGAATAATAAACACTCTGTCGTGCTGCTAATTACTCCCTGCATCAGTAAATCTCAAATTGTGGTGCGTGGACCCCAATTTAGATTCACTGAAGACTTCTGGTGATCCATGGAGAGCTGGCAGCTATCGTAAGACTGGCTCCACCTCCTTGCTGCAAGCTGCTTCGACAGGTGCCCATGTTCTTCATTATTATGAAGACACTGGAGGCCCTTGAAAGCAGCTGGGAGTTAAAAAAACAAACCAAAAACCAAGAGCATGCTGCCACGGCTGTGCAAGCGGAGAGTGCGAAAGTGCTGATCAGCAAAGACATTAGCTCTCAGTAGAAATATTCCTCCTCCGCTTTGGTTTTCCATACTTTGTACTTCTGCGTACTTCAACTCAAGAAAGGTCTGCAATGCCCAAGTCTCCCACCTCAGAGAAAGGCTACATCCTGGCTGTGCCAACACTATGTAATCTGCCGGCAGCCCGAGACTTGCTTCTGCCTGTGCTCCGAGCTGGATGGAAGCCTTAACGCCACGGGTAGCAAAGCGCCCACTGCGAGGCAACAAGCCCTTCCGTGAGGCACACCGCATCAGCTCAGGCTTGGTGCCCTACTAATACAGCAAGTCGGCTTCCAGACAGCTCAGAGCGTGGGCAGAGAAAACTAGCGTCTCTCTGCAAAATACCATGTATGCATATATCCTCTATCACACAATTTCACTTTTGATCTTCCTGTAACTAACTCATGGCTATAACACCACCTGTGTTGCGCAACTCTCGGAGTATTTCCAGGATGAAAGTTGCAAGCACACATTTGTGTTTTACACTTTTTAAAAAAAAATTAGTACCAAAAAACCCCCAAGACATACAGTTTGGGGACTGAGATCCCTTGCTTGGACTTCTTTCCTCTGAAACTGAAAAGTCCCAATTAACATTGAGAAATATCTTGTGCTCTTACCGTCACAAAACAGTCAGCACGTTTAATGCATACCATGTTAAATATTGCAGAAAAAGCTCGGTCTGTCCTGTTTCTGAAAACATGTTGCCTTATACTGTCTTCAAAGAGTAACAGAATTGGACAATGCTTTTACCTCTTAAGCAAAGTCCTGCTGATAGCTTTCAAATACGCCATTGCACAGCAAACAAATAGCAAAACAGTTACCAATCCATCAAATAGTATTTGAAATGATTTAAAAGGTTTGGGTTTTTTTTAAATTAGATTTCTGACACAAGAAGCAAGCACTGTTCCAGTAAAATGTAAATATTCCCTGAAGTGGAAGGAAGATACTACCCTGCCCAAAAATTATCACATATTGTTATGCTAAAGATATGTCCCAGAACATGATGAATAAAAGATTCTCAGTATGTCTTGTTGTAGAACAGTAGTTACTGTATGAACACGTTATGGCACAGGAATTATTCTGTATTGCTCCTGCTACCATGGGTGGCATTTAAGAAGATAATTTAGTACAACAGCGAACATAAACATACCTCTGGTGCAAGATACTCTGGAGTGCCACAGAAAGTCTTCATTGTTGCTCCATCTTTGATGCCTTCTTTACATAGTCCAAAGTCTGTTATTTTTATGTGTCCATCTTTATCTAGCATAAGATTTTCCAACTGAGAAGAAAATCCAAATGAAAGACATTATTTCATCTAACATACACTGCTCCTGAGCAAGTCAAAGAAAGACATGAATTTCTGCAGATCAGTTTTCAATCTTGTTCTCACTGGGGTCAGAACCATAGTAGCTGCCAAAGCACGCATGATGTAAATATACATTTATATCACTTTCCTTAGTTCTCTAGGGAACGTTAGGTAACTAATTTGCAGTCTTTGGGTAACTGATCATATATACAGAAAGAACGCAGAATGTAGACATTGTATTTATGCTTCTACAATATTACCACCAACAGAGCACCAGTTCTTTTGAAAAATATATTAAGTATTCCCCCTCACTCAACTTCATCCCTCCTTCTACTTTTTTTCATAAAAGGTGATTTTATGAAATATTCTGTACCAGTAAAGGATAGCAAATGAAACATAAATCAAATGCAAGGCTAAGGAACCACTTCCAAAGAGACCCTTTACATGAGAATCACTTTATACATTTACTCAGCATGTGGTATTCATCCTAGCCTGTGCCACTAACTTCTGAGAAAGTCATCCAGATTTCAGGACAGAGTGTCCACTGTGTATGAAATAAAGTGCACTTTCAAAGAAATCATGGTGATATGGAAGACAAAATCCTGGCAGGAATCCCAAAATGACTTTGACATAGCCTGAAAACATTACATAGCATGCTTCATTTTAGATTGCTCCTAAATGAACTACCACTATCCCCTCATCCTCTCCTGAAAACACTTCTCAGGAAAAAAAAGAAAAAAATAATTTCCCAAGTTTGTTTGCCCTGAGAGTTCTTGTTTGGTTGGGATTTTTTTCCTCCCTTCTCTGCTCACCAAACAAATAAGCAACTTGAAGCTTATCCAATTTTCTAACTGCAAGCAGGTACTATGAAGATAGTGCTGTGCAGCACATTGCAAGGAAGCACAACATCCACACAGTATGAATTTGCACCTATCTGATAAGACCTGGGATGAAGAGCCCAGGATTATGTTCCACCACGCAGAAGAACCAGCAAGGTTTCTCTTAGAACATAAGCAGGCAAGTGAAAATGCAACCCAAGTAGCTCAGTACCCCTTCATATTCTCTGAAACACTGCCAGGGTCCTGATAAATGCATTATACAACCTCTTAGACTATAAAAGTGTTTAGATGTCCTGTAAAGTCAAGTCCAACAGCTGCAATAACTGTTATGTTAAAGTTCAGTCAGGAAAGGCTTTCTTATAGTTCAGGCTCATTTGCTTTTGTGACTAACAAACAAAAAGCCCCAAACCAAAAAGCCTATAAAATTATTTTCTCTACGTACCTTCAAATCTCTATAAACCACATTCTTCTCTGAATGCAGGTAATCCAGTGCTGAAACAATCTCAGCTCCATAAAATCGAGCCCGGTCTTCAGAAAAGACACGTTCTCTTGACAGATGAAAAAACAACTACAAGAACAATAATTTGTTACCTTTAGATTGCACACGTTTCTGAGTTATGTCTCGCACTTCGCAGGCCATCCTGCTTGGAATGCGATATTACCTAAGAGAAAACCCCCTTCCCATCCTCACCCAGCTGTATTCCCAAATGTGTTAAAAAGCATCATAAATTAAATGACTAGACAATTATATCTCATATTCACAGATGCACACTGATAACCAGTTTGTGTGCTGCACATTCTTGTATGTACGGAAAATTACAAAACCCCATTTTTATTGAACTACAATTACATATGAAAACTACAGCTTAATGCATGATTTAGAGACATGTTAATATTCCAACTTTTCCTTCTTGACCGTCTAACAGTAGTTTGCTATTTCTAGTTCTCCCTCTGAAGTAATGCATGCTCACAATATTCATTAAAGTGTTAAAAGTTGTCTGAAGAGCAACTAAAAAGCAACCTTGCCTTCTTGAATTACTAAATGTCAGATTACAATATGTTGCTGTCATGTAAAATACGAACCCACACCCAAAACCTCTATTCTCTAAAAATGGAGTTAAGAAAATCAAGAGTCTTAATTCTTAATACTAGTGAAACCTGCAAACAACTCTGTTTAACTGGGACAACTTGCATTAATTAGAATGGCAAACATGAACCTTAGCTAAACGTCAAGCAGAATTAGTAGTAGTACAGCAAAATCCTAAAGTATTAAACATTAGTACATTTCCCTTACCTCCCCTCCATTAGCATACTCCATAACAAAACACAAGCGATCATGTGTCTGAAAGGAATACTTCAAAGCCTGAAACAGATTTAAACCAAAACTTAAAAGACAGATCACATTGACAGTTACAACAGCATTTTTAATAGGTGTTCAGAAACATAGACAGACATGAGATTTTCTATTTAAGTGGACTTTTGTCCTTGGATCTTATACAATACTTACATTTTCCTGTTGCAGCTGAGGACTGATCCACCGCCAACTTACTTCATTAAATACATTTAATAAAACATTAAAACGGTCCCTTGCAGAAGCTATCAGTAACACCTAGAATTCTGTGAAACAAAGTCCTGGCTCTGAAGTTTCCTCCCCAGGCCACAAGCTCCCACAGTTTCATCTCACAGACAAGAGGCCACAACCAAACCCCAAAGCACAAGGTTTTACTACACTGGCTACAAGCCCTCTTGTATGAAACACATATATATTTACACATGCCAGCCCCCTGGTCTCTGCCCTGCTGCCTGCAACTGCTCCCTGTTGACAGCCTGCCAGAGGATTGAGCAATGCTGTCAATATCAATTTGTGAGCAATTCACAAAAACAGACCCGATGGAGGGTGTGATGAAGCATCACAAGGTGTCTTTGTACAGTCCTGTCACATGTATTCCTGTGGTAAGAGCAACATCAACTTGTTTGCCACAGTCTTAAGTTTCTTGGTCGTAACCCAGTCTTGTAGCTGACTTCTCAAGACAGCCCTTGTTTTAGACACTTGGGTTTACGAAAACATTAAAAAGAAAATACTGCATATGATATCATCGACTTCATTACTAGGGGTGGCATTTTTAAACCAGTCATATTTTTGCAGAGAGAGGGAGGATCGGGTTTTAGACGTGTCAACAAACATTTACTGATTATGCCCAATACAGCCAACATTTACTTCCAGAGGCCACACTTGAAAGTCTAAATTCCAGTTAAGCCCTTGTGTACCTGGACAAAGGAAACAACTGGGATCCTGCACAGGTCTCTTAGAGGGCTTAAGAGGTTGGAAACAATTCAGAGTCAACTTGTAATAAATACTAGAAACAAAATCTTGAGGTAGAACTTAGGTATCTGAACTCAATCCAGAAAGACTGCTGGTGCTGGAGGTCTACACTGAGAGTACAGTTTGATTTTACAGCTAAGCAATCGAAAAGGAAATCAGCGGATAAAGCACAGTCCTGCTCTTTCCTGTCCCATCCCACATGCTCCCACCACTATCCTTTGGCTGGCATTACCAGTGCTCTGATTCCATAGTGAGCTGCTTCTGGGAGCTTAAAAAAACAACAAAGAAAGGCAAAATTAAAGGGTTTTTCCCCACTGCATCTTCCTGAACTTGTTTGTCACAAGATCAGGGTCACCCTGATCTCTGCTACAAAGAGGAGACTAAGCATTTGGAGGACAAGGAAAGCAGATACTTCTCTCAGAGATAGCAAGCCATTAAATGGGTGAGCCATAAAGTCAAACCACACCCTGAAACACTGTCTTCAAGAGGTACTGAGTACCTGCTCTGCAAGAATCAGAAGACTTAAAAAAGCATTTTGATTTGTACTTCCCAAAAATGGAAGGGTACAAAAATACACAGCCACTCTGAAAACACAGATCTCGGATGTATTATATAAATACAAAAAATAAGGGAAGTCTTGGAAGTCATGATGTCAAGTTACGCTCAGCAGAGGGAGATATGCTTACTGTTAAGAATGGATGCCGCGAGTTCTGTAAAACACGGTTTTCTGTCAGCGTGTGCGCTACTTCATCCTGAAACACAAGCAGAAGGAAATCAGCAAAGTGTTTCCCCAGATCAGGGGTCCATTTCAAACACTAACAGAGCAATTATTTACAAGTACTCAGAAAAGCCTTGGTATGACTTTCCCGAAGGCTTTACCAAGGATGAACCACATTCCCAAGTTTCCAATCTACTCACCTTTGCTACAATAACTTCCTTCTTCAGAATTTTCATAGCATAATACCGTCCGGTTGCTTTTTCTTTAACTAAAATGACCTTTCCAAAAGTGCCTTTTCCCAGTAGTTTAAGGTATTCAAACTCATTCATGGTCTGTTAATAATACAGATAAACAAGAACTGAATTACATGAACTAACAAGTATATCATTCTCAGACTAGAATTTCTCACTCACGTGAGAATACATTGCATATGTTGCATATGTGGGGTTTTTAATCCTTTTGCTTAGTAGAATTCAGGAGCAGAAATGATTCTTCCACAAAATCAGTACCAGTGCACTCCCAAAGATAATCAATCAAACTATTTAGGGAAAACCATAAGCTTTCAATTAACAAAACACCCTTTCGCATGACTCAACACTCAATTGTGCAAATACCACTCAACATATTATTATTAATCCATAAGACATTTTGACCACTTTGTCAGTGCAGACATTCACGAAAAGGCACATGTTGCTTTCATTCCAGGGATTAAACCCATACCTTTTTTCTGATGTTCCTGACCTCTCTACGGGACCAGCTTTCTTGTGCTTCATTGAACAGCACCAAAACCCACAGACAAAACGGCTGCCTCACAGATTAGCCATTCACTCTTACTTGTTTCACCATTAGGAAAAATGTTGGGGAAAATCAGAATCTGTCGCAGGCGGAGGATAGTCTCTGTACTGTCGTATCAATGACCATTGCCCACATGGCAACAGTAAGACTTACACAGCCAAAGGCTACTGCAGCCTAGGTTGGGGAAAAATTTTAATATGCTCCCAACAGGAAACTTCCTCTATATTCTTCCCTAGAGCTGGCTGAGGAGACTTTCTGCTAATTGTTCAATACAGTTGATGCCAGGACCCCAGTAATCATTTTGGCTATCCTCACTAACATGCCCAGAGAGAGACAGTCACTGTCTCAGGAGAACATGTAGATTTGACCCACGAGGTGGTTCTCGTATGAAGAGCTGCTCAGCAAGAGCGATATCTGTTCAGTCAAGGACACAGAAGGCTAATGGCAGCTACAGTTCAGAGTGACATGTAAGTAGCCACCCACATCAGTCTAAAACCACTGACATGTCACAAGGCTGGCACACATACTTAGTGATGACACTGGTGGATGGCTATCTTTTTTCTTTAAAAACTTCAGCAGTTTTCCCAAAACTTATGAAAGTAAGCGGGGATGACAACGGTGAGATAAAGACACAAAAAGCGCCTTGGTGCAATCCACAGACATAGCATTTGCATGGGAAAAGATTCTATCAATTCCTTATTACAAGAGCAGATGGGAACACTTTGGAAAATGGAAACCCAAACAGGAGACCACGATGGGGTAGAATGCAGCAAAAGGAGTTGAAGACAGATACGTGAAAGGGCTCTACAGGGCAAAGATCTCCTCTGGCACATATTCTTTTCATGGAAGGCCATTGCTGAGCTGGCCCTGTGCATGCTGTGTCTGATGCAAAAACCTGAGCTCTAGGAACACTATGGACAGACACCGCAGTGGCTGTCTGGGAGTTAGCCTAAACCCTTAATCCAGAGCAATTAAATCCACTGGACCCACCCTAAGTCCTGCAAATGCACTGGAATATCTTTGCACAAGCCTGCAAGGAGTTTACACAGTCACATGGTCCAGCAAGAGTTATGACTTCAGGTTCCGTACCACAGGAAAATCAGCAAACTAGTTCCAGACCTGAACTGGCCTTGAAAGCCATACAGTAAGGAGATCTGAACTCAGAACTCCGGTGGACCCAGACAGGCTTCACATGGTACCTGCTCAGCTCAGACAATTGTTTCCCCCAGAAGCTGCATCTACAGCCAGTTGTGTAATTGTTACGGGAACAGATGTGTCTTCATGGCTATTTCTTGTCTACATTCGAGAAGACAAAAAATACTGTTATTCCTGCTATGCTCACTTACCACTTTGTGTTTTGGCTTTGTCATAGAAACTTCCATTTCTTCAGCACCTGAATTATCACTGGGAGAGCCAGATCTAAAATCCATCATCTCTTCCTCTTGTTTCTTAAGGCTGTCTGCTACTGTTTGGATGGCTTTTGTCCATTCTTCCCTGGCAAAACATAAGCAAAGACATTCATTACTTGTGACTTTAGATTACTGTCTGCCATGGCAAGTGTCACCAAGGAATACAGAGCAGCTAATGCCCTCTGATGAATCAATGCAACATACACTGAATTAGGTGCATTTTCAAGCACTGTAAAAATTCATTTTTAAGAGCACTTTTAACATACATCTTCATTAATCATACTAGAAACAAGAGACAACTGAAGTCCTCTCAGTCTGGACATAATATAAGGCTTTTCAGACAACAGAATTTCTAACAGGCATTCAGTCAGCAGCTCAAGTTATGACCTGGTGCTACAGAGATTTACATAACAAAAACAGACTTGCCAAAACCAAAAAACAAAGGCTCCCATGCAGCACAAAGCAATTAAACACAGCTTCTCCATTTCTGTGGTGCACTGGAACGCATATATCCAACTGCTGGGGGCACTATGCCACCTCTTCGTACATATATCCTGAATTTTAATGGCAAGGGGTGTTCTAGGAGAAGGTATTAAAGCCCAGGACACTTAGGTTATTCCTCTGTTGTAAAAATGATGACAAAAGTACAGCAATTCCTGTGTAAATTTTAGCAGAATGTCAGCAAAGGCAGTGATATTTTATCTTAGGCACAAGTCTTGGTTACGATAAAGTTTCCACAGCTGTTTCAGCAATGGGTGCTCTAATACTGACCCCTTCGACTCCTATGGACACCACTTCCACTCCAGTGTCCTTTGGGAAATTTCACACCTTTGGAAACTACTGAAGTGAAAGTTCTTGGCCTTCACTTCATTTCACTGCAAACGTATTGAACATAAAGCATACAACTTGTAAGGGCCTACAGGGTTTTGGGATGGGCTTAAAGGCGTACAGGGGCTGAAGCCACATTGAGTGGACTATGTGAATTTACCATATTTTACTATCTTTTGTATCTGTAAGGAATGGGATGTAGCAGCTTAACTGATAGTTTTTGGGCACTGGCTAAACTCTTCTCCCAAGGACACCCCAGGTAAAATACTTTGCTACTACGGCAGGAACAGAAGTAGTCAACGCTGAACAACTCCATGCACAATCTGCAGTTAAGCCATGCCATCCTAGTCAATGTCAAGTTTTTCACTGGATCTATGAAATTATATATAAAAAAAAATAAAATCATATCTGAACATGTGAATTTCGTGGATCGAAGAGGCAGATCATTCCCCAGAGGAAGCAAAGTCCATGGGAAAAAGTACCCAACACAAGATTCTAATAAAAACTGTACCAATTACACATAACATCTTTCCCACCCTGTGCATTTTTTATTTTGGATTTTGTCTGAACGTTCACTACCCAGCCTGTCTGGGGCAGCAAGGTAATGCTAAACATTTGGAACATTTTCCCTATACTGCCAGCACAGACTACTTCATTCACCATCACAAACACATTCTTTTATTTACTAGTCATTTTTCATATTAAGAACTATTACAAAAAGAACTTTTTCTTCTGTATTTTTATCTCTCCGTCTCTTTCAAAAAACAAATGTTGGTTTTAAAGGCACAGAGAAAGCTAAAGGCATATCTACTTTCACATCTCTTTTAAGATTTATTACTGACTTGGTTGAGAACTCAGCCCTCCTGAAGTGAGTATCTTTGATTTCTGGGAGACCAGAATTTCACCCTCAGTTTTTATGTCTCAAGCGTACACAACAGAGGTGACTAACACTCTTGAGCCCTGAAGTGTCACAAAGCTGACTTAGCTGGCTAGGAGGGAACAAAACAAGACTGAAATACAATCTTCCCCCAAGTGGAAACAGTTATTCACTCCCTTTAGGGTCACTGACCACAAAGCTACTAAAAGAAACAAGGACCAGTTTATTTTTCTTTGCTTTTAATTTGATTTCACCTTCTTCTGATCATTGTAATAGAATCAAAAGCAATAAACAGGAATCTTCTTTAAATCAATGCATGCAAAGGCTACAAAAGAAAAATGCAAAGAATATTAGGTAGAATTTGCTCATCTTAAAAATAAACATGTGCCAGTATCATATCTAGGGAGGACAAGCATTTTAAAATACGCCTTCCCCTAGGGCAATGGTACTGGAATAATTTCAGTTCAGTTCCTGAAGAGCAAGTAAATATTTAAATACGCTGTAGTTGTAGAATAGCTGTGCTAGAAAACTGTTCTCAGGAGGTAAGAGATCAATTCTCCAATGATGAGAGCACAGGATGCATGCTCTTAGCTTTGTTTCCTAACAGCTGAAACAGAAATCTGCACCTGCAGCAGATAACTATCACCTTTATTATCTAATTTGCATAAAACATCAGCAATCAGCAATGATACAACTAACTTTTTTCCTTTAAAAACAAGCTGTCTAAAAAGACTTTAAAAGGTCAGTATTTTGATACAACTCAACTTTGCCTGAATTTCTGTTTCATTTGTGCTCATCCATCCAGAAACTCCCAGGTCAGAAACCCTTCATTTCATATACCACATTTCCAGTGAGAAATGAACCCTGAGTTTCCAGAAATAACTACCTGTGTGATGGTACACACCTGCACCGTCCGTTTTGGATACCCAACCTAGCAACATTTCATTTACAAATACTTCTCAAACCCACTCTCTGAAAACCCCTTTAAGGTATCTTTTATACTGGAACACGCACTAAAACCGAGGCACTCAAAAATTATTTGTCGCTGTTCAGTCTAGACGTACATCATCTGATAAGTAAGAGCTTCAGCAAAGGACTCGCTATTAATGCTGAACACTTGCATCTGCTTTTGCAAGTAGTTTATGTATTAAATATGAATGAAACATACCGCTCCTCTGGAGTCTCCACATGAAATGTTCTTTCAATTACTGTGGTCCACTGGAGGCATCTAATGATAAATGTGTTTGGTTTAGGTCGTTCTGTCTTCATCAGCTGGCACTCTACCACAATCAAGGAAGAAAGAGTCATGGTACATAAGCAGGTTTAAATAATCATTTGTCTTTATTCTTATCTAGCAAACTGTTGCGATTAATCAGCCATAGAAATCTCTGTAAGTACTTCTTTAGGAGACTTGAGACAATTTACTGTGTTGATGAAACCAATAAATAGCTTGGGAGATAGTCATCTAAGCAGCACTGAAATCAAATTCTGCTTAGACAGGCTCCACATTTGGTCTGCCCATAGAGGTAAGTAGAAATGTGATGTGATGACACAGAAGCTGTTCAGACTCAGGTCCTACACTCCAAAGGTCATCCAGAGCAGAGCAGACGGACAAAGTCAACTGATAATGCAGCAATTACATCCACTGAAACTAAAGCCAAGCCCCCACATTCCCTTCCTTTGACTTTCCCAACATAAAATCCTGTCCTTGGCTTTCAAGGAGTTGCTAGAGAGCACGTTTGATCATTTTGCAGGGATCTGTCGAAGATTAGACTCAGCATTTCCAGTCCTCAAACACTAGAGGGAACATCAAACTGCAGAGGCACCCCCAGAAAAGACCCCGTTCAAAACACCTTCGGGACAGCGGCTGCAGAGTCGGATGCTGTACAGACACGCAGCTAACAGCTTCCATCACTGCCAGTATTTAAGCAAAACCTTAAAAAGGCTACAGAAGTATGGTTACATGCAGAAATACCGCTTCCTTCATAAATATGCTCTCTCTCGAGCTGAGCATTTTTTTTTTTAAATCACACCTGCTATTTTAAGCTTCATAGGATGTTACGAGTGTTTATCCTTCAAATTTGGGCCTGAAAATGCACCCGATTAAGGGTATGCTAGCTATACTGTAAGAGAGGATCTGAAAACCAAAAGAAAATCAAGGAAATAACAATGAGAAGCCAATTCACCACATTTTTCAGATTTATATTAATAGAAAATCTAATGCTAATTAAACAGCTCCTGTTAAAGGAAAGTCAGATTAAGAAACCATGTGAGCAGGGCAGGAGAAGACATAATTGGTTTGGTTTTTTTTCTTACATTAAACTCTTTTCCTTGCACTTAATGAAACCACAAGCTTCCTATTATTTGGTCTTCAGGTTCTACATCAACTTCCAAGTAAATAAAAAGGCACTATGAAGACAAGAAGAAATTTCTGCTTACTGCTAGAGCTATGAACATCCTCCACCATCAGCAATATGCAAGTCGAGGACAGAATCCGGCCAGAGTAACAGTACACAAGGCTACACTGGTATCGTCAGGTTAATTTTATTATTGTAAAAATTTAGAATGCTCAGTTTTAAATTCAAGCTCTTAATTAGCACCAAGATAAAATATTTACTGCCAGTGGTTTTGGGTGCTGTATTTTTGGCAATGTATTTCATGCCGCATTTGCTACTGGAATTATGAGCTTTTCAATGAGTAACTTTGCATTTTTCATGACAAGAAAATCTAATTTTTCTTTAATAGCACGCTGAGGTTATACTGCATCCTACTAAAGCACTGCAATTAGATAAGAGAAAGTTTATTAATGACTCATGAAAAGGTTTTAGTGTGATAAACGGCACTCCTTCATTCAGAGATTAAAGAACTTCCACACAGCAATGCAGCCGTGCTTGCAGAGCACCATATTTAGCCTTCCAACTACCCCCATCCTCTTTCGCAGAATGGCAGTTAAGGCCGAACACAACTGCACAAGCTGGCGCAGCCCAGTAAGCCTGGTTCTGATAAATTCAACTCAAGAGATCCCATTCCTGCTCCCGGATCATCCACCCCAGCTTAGCTGCTCTTCTTTTTTCTGTTGTTTCTTCTGTCTCCCATTTTTGTCTGCCTAACATGATTAGACGAAGGCTGGGGTTGTCCTCTGTGAGCCTGCACAATGCAGCCCTAAGATACTGAATTTGGCTGAAGACTCAAAGAAGAAAACCAGGCTATGTCTAACCTCATGCAAATCCAGAGCTGTTCCCCTTTACTTATCCAGAAGTGCAACATGATGAAATACACTGAGAGGTTTTGCTTACTTTTTAAAAAACAGCCTTTAAATTCACGTTTAGTGCCTCAGATTAAGTATTCTGAAGTAGCAGCACAGATATTTAAACTAGCCATGAACTCTAAACTTTAACCATTTAATTTCAGCACAATAAACTACACAAGGCATTTTCTGTCATAGAAGGGGACCAATTAAACATCACCACTTTTCCCCTAAATCAGCACTGTCCATTGATATTTGTTAAGCTTGCTGATCCAGCAATCTTTAAGGCATACAGCAAGATGAATAATAGAGATTTGTCAGTTAATAACCACTATAATTCAAGTATGTCACATAGAAGTGTTTTGTTTAGTGAACAATATGCTGTCTAATTACCCTGCTCAATCATAACAGCACATATCAAGAAATACAGAAGGCTTTATTTTTAAATTGCTTTACCAAAGTGCTGTACCACATAGGTTTCAGGAAGTTTGATGCTACCACTTAGTTCTCCCCATATACAACAAGTGTATGGATTTTATCAACGAACGATGAAGCAGCAGGTTTTTTCTTACTTTTAAAACTGACTCTGTGCTCTTTACTGTAGTTGGCAAGCCAGAGAAGCACCAAACTTGCCTTCTATAATCGTGTACCGCAACATGCACCACCACAGCAGAGCACAGGTACAGATGCCGTATAATATTAGGTCTGATTGATGGCACGTTTGGGGGTTCTGCTATAAAAGCATTCAATTTCAAATACGGGCCGAGGGTCGCTTACCCACTTTGAAGACAGTTTTTCCTGTCAAACAGGCCAACAAAAGTATTTCCCATTTGCAACAAAGTAAGTACTACAAACAGCAGCCTGTTAAAAATGATTTAAATTGCTCTAAAGAGCCTCTTGATTCCTTCCTGGAGTTTGGTCTTTTAAAGTAAGTAGGACAGAGAATTGTTCCGAACAGGAATAGACACCAAGGCATTCAAGGCATACCATTTTGTATTTGAAAGACACTTAGTATTATCCCAGTGACTTTCTAAAATGTCACAATATTTGCTTCCGCAGCATTTAAGCTAAAAGGCAGATTACTTGTGATGAAAGTGTCAAACGCTGCTCCCTATATAATGACATCACACTTTAAAACAATAATATGCAGGAATAATCCTTCCCATT